TAAAAATGAAGTTTATTAAACTAATGTACAACATATTCCAGTCATTTGTGGTCTAATTAATTTAAAATTTTTTTAAATTTTTTATGACCGTACGTTTTATCGTTATACGTACAATAATCACTTTATAACAATTTGATCTTAAAAAATATTTTTTAATTAAATTTTTTTTCCAAACATGCGTAATTTTTATAATATTTGAATTTTTTAAATTCTGTACTTACTACTATAACTCTAATATTGTTTTTTATCTTTTACGCGAAAATAACGCGCATTGCGGGTCAAATGTTATTTGTTCCATATGTAGAAATAACGAGCGTAACACGTAGTTTATATAAAAATTATTTTAAACAAACAAATTTGTTGCTTTTTTTTTAAATTATTTTTATACATCCTTAGACGTTGTTTATTAGACGGGTTGGACATGCTTGCCTCTGAATTAATTGCCAGCGCAAAAGATTAAAAATCCTTTTTTGTTTCGGACAAATAATTTTTGCACACGCTAATGTTATATTTTGAAAAATATGGATTTTTGAAGCAAACATATTACAGACAAAAATATACAATTTATTTTCTGTTTCATGATATTAAGTATATAATTTATGTAAACAATCAAAGTATAATAGAAGAAAAATTGTTAATCAACTTTTTTTATTTAAGTAAATTGGCTAAAATACGTCCTAAAATACGTCCTTGAAGCGCTATAATAGCCTAGCTGAAAATCAAGTTCAACCACACCAAGTTGATTTGTAATAGCATATATATGGGTGCTATCAAATTCCACAAAAAATACAGGATCGAGAATTAATATCAGAATTTATACAAAACGTCTGAAAATTTTTTAAGACAGTAAATATATAATTTTAAGACAGTAAATAATACGTTACTAATAAAGATTATTGCAAGATACATAAAATTTAAAAGTAATACAAACTTTAATGCATTTACTTAATCTTTGATCCCATAGAATTACTGTATTATCTTCCGTCCCTGTCATAAAAGTATACAAATAATCTGAACGGAGACTTAATAAATTCCTACTTAAATCACACCATATGTTATCTAGGACAGAAGCATCCCATGTACGTACAAATTTGGATGTTCTAAAATTAGAGTAACGAATATAACTAAATTGAATGGCTAATTAATGTCGATAATAAGATTTGTTACCTTGTATCCATTTGTTTAATATATGATTCATACAGCATGAGAATAGTGTGAGTATCTTGCCATAGTAGTTGGTAACATGTATTACCATCTATACATTTATCCATTACCTGACAACTAAAATACCTTTACATTAGTTTATTGTATATTATTCCTAATATACATGAAAATCAATAAGATTAGAGAAAGGAGACCAAACTTCTCTCTTGTCATCGGGCTATATAATATACAGGAGTGAGCCTTTCGCATAAGAACTAATATGTAGTTTGCGGCCAAAGGATTGCAATAGTAGACTATGTGTTTTTTTTTCACATTTATTACCGTTATGATGGAAGATATTTAAAAGACAAAGACAGACATCAGACAGACATCAGACAGATTTTCTCGTCTAATGTAGATCTCTCTTTCCACACACAGTGAGCACCACTTTTTTAAGGCTCTCACCAGTATGTTATATAACTTATTATGTTATAATTACGAATTATAATTACTAAATCGGATCATATAATAGTGTCTGTACAAACATAGTCAACGATTAATTGAACATTTGTAGAAATCGATTAATTAATGAAAACATAACTTACTTTTTGTTAATATCATAAATTAGAAACCATTGTTCGGCACTAGCAGCAACTTTTGTTTCTGTAGGGTTTAATGAAATTGACCGAATTAATTTCCTGCCTTTCCAATAAATTGTTTCCTTTTCTTCCGCATTATTTTCAAATGTATTTTTTTGTAGCTAAACAAAAACGGACTTTTTACATTCTACATTCTACATTAACATAGCATATATCCAAATTTTTTAATCTTACTTTTATTAAATTTGAAGAACTTGATATAATATGTTGCGAGGTTACTTCTATGTTCGAAACGTATTCATCATATACATTGGAATGTACTTTTAATTGTTGAATATTATTAATGTTATTCCGCGATTCAATTCTCCAATGTCTAATACTACCATCTCTGCAAGAATTTTTGTAAGAAAAAGAAAATAAACATAAAACAAAGTTTATAAATTAATATTTACACGTGGCCGCTTATAATTATATCATTGCAATAAGCAATGCTTGAAAATTGACGGTCACAAGTTGCACGAATCACGTTTTTACGGCTAATGTTACCGTTCTTTGCACGATTAAAAGCTAGAAGTTTATTTTTGTCATAAAGCCAAATTGTATTTCTAGTCATTTTTAGACAATTTTCGTTCATTGTCATGCCTCTCAATTCTTTTTATGAAATTTGTTTGTAATGGAAAAATGTTCTTTTTTCCAAATCTTTCCCATTGCCAGTTGTAATGCGTAACAAATTTAGATCTATACGTAGATAATAGTGGTTTACATCTGTAAAAGAAAATAAGACGTACGTTCTTTAATGTAATCTTATGAAAAATCGTGAATATTTTGAATGTGAATGTACTAATAATATGTAAAAATTAAAGTGTATTTTAAAAAGACATGCTTAAAAAATTAAATCAAGTTTTGCACAGGTTTTAACCTGTGCAAAACTTCAAAAGCTATGTCTCAACGTTAATATGTGCGAAAAACTTTTATCTACATATATTGTACTATATTTGAAAAAAAAATTTTTTTATCTGAGTGCACTTTTCTTTTAATAATTGCTTTGATGGAGACAAAGAGTGTGATTTTATCGATTTATTTTGTGCAAAAGTACAGAGAAGATTGTAACGTCGACAGATATAATGTATAAATTTCTGATAGCTATTGATTGAAAAATGAAAGAGGGGGCACATTAGCGCTGATGTGCTTGTATGAGAGAATGGAGATGTGATGTAAATAAACCGCGGTAGGGACACATAGAAAAACTATAGAAAAATACATATACTGACAAAAAGTCGTTACTTGGAGAAATATAATACTCAGCATCATCAGTAAACATGTGATTTTAAGACAGAGCAGGAACAATAATATAAAGTGAAAATTATCAAAAATCGGTTCGATAGATTGCGTGTTACAAAGAAAATTCTAGAATAAATTGAAATACAAATAAGAATTAAGTTATATTTAACTTACCGTTCACGAAATTTTTTCGATATCTGATTCGTAGCAAGCAAATGGTTACTTTTTTTATTTAAGATCTCTGTTGATATTACATCAAAATTTTTGCATACTCTTCTGAGCTGTAGTAAAGTATATATATCACATAAATCGAAAATTATTAGCAATATTTCGGGCGGTAAATAGTATAGAAGAGACATATTTGTCTTCTTAATTAGACGTTATCACACGAGAATATGAACACTACAATATGACAATCGGTATATGCACACCACTAAACACTACACTAAAACCGAGAACCAGAGTTGCCAGAACGATACACCGGTCTGATCACTGACATCTATATGTAGGATACTAATACCAGACTGGCCTTAAATATATAACAAGAAACTCTGCGTGTTAAATTTTCGCGCATGTGAAAACGCTGATGGACAGCAGTCACCTGTTAATTGGTTGATGATTTTAAATGCCATAACTATAATATAATTCAAATCAGAAGATTGAAAAGATATAATTTATTATTATTATAATAAATAAATGAGTAAATATATATATATATATATATTTATACTTATATTATTAAAAATTAAAAATTAAAAAATTAAAAATTTACAATATAAAAATACAACTTTTAAGGTAAAGACTGAAATATATAAAATAATTACTTATTTGTATTTATTTAGCAATGTTTACGCAATTATAAAATAATGTTGCAATTCTTAAGAATATTTGGAGAATATTTAATATCTTTACATATCTTTTTAATGTTAAGTACTGTCTGACAATTTTCGATTAAGGGCTGATTATAACAATTTTTTCATGGACTTTACCTCTCAGTTACCTAAAATAAATATCGGTAATCCTTACTCGATGGTTGGAATACCGAATAAAATTACTTCTAGGTAATAAGAATTTAATTTGTAAGTGAAAATTATCAACAAATTACTGATATTTATTGATGCAACAGTTACTGATATTTATTGATGTTTGTTGCTAAAGTCTACCAGAAAGTGGTAATAATCCACCTTAAAACTTTAATCGCGTTTTTCTAAAAATGAAGTTTATTAAACTAATGTACAACATATTTTAGTCATTTGTGGTCTAATTAATTTAAAATTTTTATTAAATTCTTTATGACCGTACGTTTTATCGTTATACGTACAATAATCACTTTATAACAATTTGATCTTAAAAAAATATTTTTTAATTAAATTTTTTTTCCAAAGATGCGTAATTTTTATATTTGAATTTTTTTAATTTTGTACTTACCACTATCACTCCAATATTGTTTTTTATCTTTTACGCGAAAATAACGCGCATTGCACGTCAAATGTTACTTGTTCCATATGTAGGAATAACGAGCGTAACACGTAGTTTATATAAAAATTATTTTGAACAAACAAATTTGTTGTTTTTTTTTTAAATTATTTTTATACATCCTTAGACGTTGTTTATTAGACGGGTTGGACATGCTTGCCTCTAAATTAATTGCCAGCGCAAAAGATTAAAAATCCTTTTTTGTTTCGGACAAATAATTTTTGCACACGCTAATGTTATATTTTGAGAAATATGCATTTTTGAAACAAACATATTACAGACAAAAATATACAATTTATTTTCTGTTTCATGATATTAAGTATATAATTTATATAAACAATCAAAGTATAATAGAAGAAAAATTGTTAATCAATTTTTTATAGTTACATAGCAGTATGCTTTAGTTGCATAGTTACATAGCAGTATGACTATTGATGGAATTATACTCTTAACATCTAACTGAAGAAATTAATTAACTTTATTTAAATCGTTTAAGATTAAAAAAAGTATTACAATCTCATATTGAATTTTCAATTGCCATATTTTTAATATATAAAATTGAAATAATTTTTTTATATTTATATTCAAGTTTTAAAATAAAGAAGCAAATAAAATTTGCTTTAGAATAAATTTCCATTTTTTTAAATATTCTTTGACATTTTTGTTTTAATATCAGATTATTTGATGATAATAATTAAAGATAAAATAGACGAATTTACAAAATCGTTGAAATCTAAATATTTTGTGTTCTCGCGCTTCAACTTTATTCAGAAACTAAATAGTCGTAGTAGCATCGAGCAAACTGATCCTGCGTACACATGTATGCAGAATCCGGATAGTTTGGAGCGTATAATAGCACGAAACTAGTAGCATCGAAACTAAAACGCGCTACGGGATAACCTTCGAGAATGCAGTCGGAAAGCGAGCAAAAACGAAGGAGGTGTAAGCCCTCTTGTCCGTGTGATTAGAAAAGGATTCTTCGCTCGCTCGGTTTCTGGCCGCATTCTTACGCAGCCGTAGCGATAATCGATTAGCCACGAGTCGTCATGGAGGTAAAGAAAATCGATGACCTTCGGGTAGCGGAATTTGTTGCCGTTTTTTTTCTACGTTTATGATACACTATTAATTTATCAGCAATGTAATCGTCTTGCTAATATAAATTTATTTTTGTTTTGTAGTTCAATGAAAATATCTATCTCGTATAATTGCCAACTCTAATTAGTTTTAATAACTTATTAGAATAGATTTAGCAGGTTAAGTTTCTTTTATCTCTCTTTTAGATTTGAGTGCCTTAATTTGTTAGGTACAATTGGCATCTTTTAAAAAACTAACTAATTAAATTTGAAAAATTGCAACCCGCGTTTTTAAGAGTTAAAAATTCAATAAGAAGTCGTTCAATGCGGAAAATGGTTCATGCGAAGGAGTTCGATTTGCTCTAAGAGGAATCATATTACCCGATGACGACCGAACGTTGCCAGTGACATTACAAAGAGGTGAAAGAAGACGAACGATATCGCGACGCACGGCGCGACGGCGCGCGGTGATTAAATTCCTCGTTTTGCCGCGCAGCGAGCGGTCCGTGTAGATCGCGCGATCTACGCGTATCGTATACGATCGTCCGCGCGCGTACGAAGAGCGGCGGGCCGGCGCCGCTAATGATCGTAATGGGCACGTTGCGCTATACGTACGAGACGAGGGGGCCGTCGTTCGCTGCTTCGCCGGGGCTTGCTCGTAGCAGCCGAGAATGGAACAAGGTAATAGCGATATTAATAGTGGTATCGTGGGCTAGCCGCGATATTGCTGCGTCGATAGCGCGCGAAAGAATCGCGCCTAATGCACCAAGATTGCCGTTTCATCGATAGTCGCGAACCCTAAACGCCGAGGTCGCACCGCTGTCTTCCAACGATCGTATCGAGCTTTCCGTTTCTCGCGTCTTCTCTCGGTACTCGTCATCTTCATTTGCTTCTTCGGTTCAGTGAACATACATTATCATGTATTCGAATTTGTATTCGATGATCGGATAAGGAATACTATTGATGGTCTCTAATCGGATATTGAAAGTTTAGACAGGCTAGATTAATCTTTTTGCGCATACATCTGTATAATTAGCTTTTAATAACGTTCAATATAAATTAGCTACACTATTTTATATATGTTTAATTTGAGACAAATATTTGGGAAATCAAATTGAAATTACACGATTAGAATTAGATAATCTTGGGTGTTTGTTAGTTTGCTCCGAATTAATTAAAACTTATGAATTTTCAATAATGAAAAAAGTGGAAAATGTTTTTCCTAACACAATGACATTGTCAAAGTATACTTAAGAAGAGATATGATCATATCTAATGCCGAGTGTCCGTGGCAATGCGGGGATAAAGAAGTCTATCGGTGTAAGAATTGAGGAACATAATTCACGACCTAACAGCAGTTTCCTGAACGTAGTAGATTTATCATGCGGATACTTGAAATCAGCGAATGATGAATCGCCGCTGTGCACTGAGAAGGATGGCATTTGATTGAAAAGTCGGACTTTCGAAAGCTGAAACGTATGATTGTACGAACGTATGATTGTACGAACGTATGATTAATTGTTGAATAATTTAACTTGTCATCGGCTGCAAATTGCGCAAGATGATTTCGATGGTTCCGTTCACATTCCGTTCTCGCAATATGGATAAGATATTCGTGCAAAAACGCGACATCGCACTCGAAGGAGCGCATTTTCTGCGCTAATGTCTCCGGGAGAGCGTAGAACGGCGTGTATTATCGATTATCTTCCTGAAGACAATGATATTTAACGGCTCGTCGATTCCGCAGAAACGCAGACGCGGTAGGTAATAAATTTTAATGCGTGTAATGTGGGAATTAATGCGGGATTGTTTCCGCGTATCGGCGGTGAGGTATAGTCGCGATTCGTAACTCACGCGATTTAACTGCGCGTTTAATGGCCGAAGTTACGACGCTACCGCGCGAATTGTTTGATCGAATTAAATTAATTCGTACGATCTGCGCCATCATTCGAAACGCGCGAATCAGTGAGCTTTCCTTTGTGCCGTTGTCGCCGATCGAAACTCTCGCTCGCGAAATTAATCCGCGATGATTTCGCGCTCTCCTTCCCTTCTCTCAATTAAACTTTCGTCGCCTTTGTAAGTGGTCACGCTTTGCTGCATTTTTTTGCTGTGTTCATACATAGCGCTCCATTTAATAATTTATTTAATTAAAACTATTAATAATTTCTATAAATATTACGGTGTGCATTAAATGTGTGCTAATGCGAACACGTTCTACGATATCTCTCTTGATAATGTGCTGAAAACTCGGAACTTATTTATGCGAGAAATTTTGCGAAGAAAGCAGTAATTAATTAAGAGATATTTCATGGCGAATAATATTAAAAAGAATAGAAAAATGTTAGATCAAATTCTCTATTTATCTCCTACTTTATTTTTACATCTTATTGTATCTTACGTCCGACAAAAATCTTAACTATAACGCGTTCAACATGCAACGGTCTGCTCGTCGTTATCCTCTTATCCTCTTGGCCGCGGATGGTCGTTAAATAACACGCTCTGCTCCTTTTTACATGAATTCTCTCACGACCCCGTGACTGCGCGCTAGAAGCCGCGGCTTTATACATTAAGCAACATCGCGTATCTTGGCTACTTCATCGCGCGCGTTTCTCTCAGTTCTCGAAACTGCCCCGTGTAAATCATAAGAGGATAGCACGAGGCTGGCAACGAGCGAGACACATATACATATACAGACAGCGAGTTGGATCTTAATTAAACGGCAAAACGACGATACACGTCTCGTAGCTGGAATCGTTTTTAATTCGTTCATCGTGAAACTTAATTATTTCGAATGACTGCGATGTCTTAGCAAAAATCATTAGCAGGAACGCTAGATACAGTTTTTAATGAATGAAAATAGGTAACATTATGATTATAATATTTGTTTAATATAATCTCGACTTATTATTGTTGTTATTTTTGGATCAATTTTTTTTATTAATTACAGTGTATATT